CGCGAGGGAACACGTGACCGGCGGAGCGGGGAGCGGCCGGCTCTGGGTCACGTGACGGGCGGGGGCTCGCGCGGCCGGCGGGCGGGGCAGCGGCAGCGCGCGGGAGGGCCGGGCCCCGGTTTGCGCGCGCCCGTGCGCGTGCCCTGCTGGCCGCGCGCCCCCGGCCCGCCGCCCTGCGCTTCACGGTGTACGCGGAACGGAAACACGCTCCTGCTAAATTGTACGTACAGCTAAAAACCTTCTAAAGCTCCAGGTTCTTACTCCCACCTTTCACTCCCACAGGAGCCTCCAGCTACTTTGGCTTTAGTTTCTCCCTCCCTTGCGGCTGGGGAGATTGTGGATTGCCCACATTATTCCCATTTTCTGCAGCTCATGTTTCAGACAGACGAGCTGCCTGAACTGATTCTCCGTGCAGGCGATGAGGAGCACAAGGCTGAGCCACAAGAAGGGGAGCTCTCTGCAGCCACGCTGACTGGTTCCAGTTCCACAGAACTTACCCACCCTTGCACTGACAGACAGCACCGCTCCAGATTGAGTGGCAGCTCTCCAGTCAACCCAGAAAGGACACATTCCCAGTTTCCTCTGCACAGTATTTCCCTGCACTCTAACAGCACCTGCAGCTGTTTTCAAGCTGAAATCTGGACAAGACACAGCATGAGTTCTTTGACACTGGTATGACCCACTTACTTATTTAAGTAGCTGACTGCCTCCTGTTCAGGAAACACCACCACTGAAAATGGGCATCAGATGCAAGCACCACCTTTAGGTATGAAGCAGCCTTTTCAAATAAACCTCAACTACAGTGTCTGCAAGCTTCTTACTGTGAACATAGGAGCCTAAGGATTCGGATTTGGATATAGAAATTGTCATTATTTTCATTCATTGGTCTAATAGAAAAGGATAAATCTGCCAAGCACTTCATCATTTTTCTTTTCTAGGCACAGGCACCTCCATATGCATCCCTTATTCAGAGTGGTGTGTACCATCCCTGAAAAGGTTCTGGTTAGAACTAGAATTTTGGCTTCAAGTGCTTAAAATGTGAAGCAGCTTAACTGAAGTTATGAGGTCTTTTATTCTTACAGCTAAGTCTGAGTTCTGTATGCACCAGAAGTTGCCTTCTTCCTGAACTCAACTGTTCACTTAGTGTGCCAAAGGGACAAAATGGAAGTAGGATTTTACAGCAGCTCAACAACAGATGTATCTGACCTGGAAAGTTGGTTATTAAAATTTTATTTATTGATGGAATATTTCAGTAATTTAAGTAAGCACCTGAAACACTCACCTGTTCAAGGGAATCACAGCTGTGAATAGTAGGCTGCCAATAGTTTACAGAAAAGAACAGGAATGAGGACTCCTAGATAACCAGGACAGAGTCTCCAAAAGACAACTGGGAGTGAAAGCTTCCAATAAGACCTTTATTGCAACACAGAGTTGACAACATGTTTTTGTATTTAATAGAAAGTATTTGGTCTCTTGGTGGTGAAGCGTGGTTTGTGCTGGCGACGCAGGACTCTGTGCGGCAGCGGGAACTTGATTTTAGAATCCTGCAAGAAAAATGTTTTATGTTAATTGAGGTATCAGATGAACAACAGAAAATAGTTTGGAATAAATGGCCAAGCTGTATTCAGTGACTACCTTATGCTTAGAGAAGTAATCCATCCACAACTTAAGGTACACTTCACAGGACTTAAATTATGAATTTTGCATTCTTTTTTTCAAAGTAATGCCAGTCAAAGGCATGTCTTCTGTAGCATAACATGTATTTACTTTATTGTGACTTTCTTCCAAATACTTGTAGCAGCAGAAGTCTTGATCATAATATACCATAATCATTAACATACACACCCCGGTTTGGCTCCTGCTCTATTTCTGGCTGCAAAGCAAACCTGTACTACACAAGAGAGATCCCCTCTTCCAATCCAACGCTGGCCCAGGACCCACCAGCCAGTGTTGGCTCACTTACATGGAACTGCTTGACTGCTGGTCTGCGGCACTTGCTGGCAGCAATTTCCTCAACCTTCATGATCTGGATAGAGTGAGCACGGGCACGATGACGGGCTCCCATATCACGGTCTAGAACAACAGAACTCATTAAAAAGGAATTTTATTACATGTTCAGCTCAAGAATCTTACAGCCCTTTGTTCAAGAAATGTTCATAGCGTCATCTAAAATTTTTAAAATTTCTGATCATCTGTAATTAAAATCACTGTTATATAAAGTGATACCACAAATATCACAAAACCAACAAGCAGCAGCAAACTCCTCCTGTAAGTTTTAAGTAAGCTCCACAATAGGAAAAGCCATTTGAATCTTCTTGTCAAATTTCAAGAAGGACACAAGTAATATACGTAGGACTACTTACTCTCTTGCAAGAGAAAAAAATCCTGTGATTCAGAATCAACTGAAATATTACTAGAAAGACACATGAACTTCAAAACACTTTCCTTTCCAAAAGGAAGGTGCAGGTAAGAGTAGGACCTGAGGATATCTTTACTTTTATTGAAATTGACCAGCAATAGAACCATGAATTGATGTTCAGCCCACATAATCAGGCTTTTTGAATAGAGGAAACAACTGAACTTGGGCTACCTGAAAATTCCTCTATTCAGCAGTGCAAATCGCTGGCTTCAAATCACATCCATATCTAGCTCCACAAGTATGGCTGTTAAAATACTACTGTGCTTCCCACGAAGATCTAACACATCTATTAAAAACTTACCTGCCACAACTATTCTTGAACATAAATGTATCAGTCATGAAAAGTTTTCTGGGTCTCCTAAGCAATCCTTCAGTATGTTCATTAACAGAGATTATTGCACATTAATGTAGAACCTTAAATTTCACTTTCAACAGCACTTCAGCTTTTGAAAGGCGACAAGATACATTTAATATTTGCACACATGACAAGAATATCATTATTAAGAACAATATTCTTTGGGTTTTTATGTGCAATCCGTAGTGCTTATAACACTCTGGACTCAAGTACCAACAGCAACAGCTACACAAATGGTCTATCACTTTAAGTACTTCACAAAACAGTCTGAAATCAGGACAACCATTACTTCTCCATGAAATGATGTGATGAGATCTTCGAGTTACAGTAGGGGCTTTTTCCCTGTTTTTTTTTTTTCTACTTGCTCGATAAAGGACAGATTCTATTATACTCCCCATGATCTCTGAAATACTCTTTTCACAAGACTTGGGAAGATATATTCAATTATCTTAGCACAGCGCAGGAAATACACACAGCACCTGAAAAGTCAATAAATTCTCAGTACTAGAATTGTAGAAAGACACACCAAAAAGAAGTGGGAGTATTTTCCAGTCAGAGAAACTGTATAAAGAAAGGTAACAAGTCACCTATCAGATGTATAATAGATAAATATCTATGGAATAGCTGACAACCCCCTCCTTTAATTGTCCAGTGTTTCGGTTATTTTACCATGGGTTAAGTCAGCATGCTTTATGCCTAATTTGAGATTTAATCTTCTGCTTGTATACTGCTTCTACTATTTTACACCTCAAACAGCTACATATACTTACAGCACTGAGTGACAGCACCCGCAGTGGTCAAATCTCTGTACTCCCTGTACATGTTGTGGGTTCCACTACGAGAATCATAGCGCAACCAAATACCAAAATTTTTTACCCGCAGAGGGGACTTCTCATACACCTGGAATTACACAAGAATATGGAAGCGTTAGAGATTAGGTACTATCACCATTTTACAATTTTAAGAATAAATATTTCAGAGCTCTAACAAAACCCCTGTTTTAAGTCTTACTGTCAAAAAACAACTCTTTGTTCTCTTTCCCCTTACCAAGATAGCTGGATATGTCTTGGTAATTCAGAGTAGAGAGCTTTAGTAATTCAAAGAAAAACACAAGATTTCAGCTCTAAAGAGTGTTCTTGAAGTATCAAGGAAGAGGAGTGTAAGCATACAAACATCCACTTTCCCAGGGCTATGAATGTGCAAATGCCTCTTAAAAGATATATTGTACAATGAACCTAAGTCTAAGATTCAACACATGACTCATCATTTTGAAGCAGTAAGTAAATTTGTATTTCGTTTACAAGACATATACTACTACTTTCAAAAAGCAAACTTGTCACTCCTTTTCACAGCAACTGAAAGACAATGGATTTCAACCTCACACCCCATAACTGCAATTCCTGTAAAATCCCTCCACATACACCTGCTGGAACTCCATAAGAAGCTTTTAGGTTTATAATTCTTCACCTGTCCACAGTACACAATCTCCCCAGAAGACTTCTTCATCTTCTTCAGCTGAGAGACGAAGTACCAGAATCGGGACTTGGCGACGACATGGTTCGGAGCGAAGATGCGCATGCGGTACAGAGGAGGGGTCCTGCATTTCGGCGTGGGCAAGCAGCGCCCGACCACCTTGTACTCCCGCAGCTGGAGGAACACGAAAACCAGGCGGACCGCCGAGTGAGTGAGCCGCGGAGGCACCGCGACGCCCGCCCCGAGCCCTTTGAGGCGGCTCCTCAAGGGAACAATGCGACGAAAGGAGCTCAATCCATTAGGGGAGGGAGCCCCTTGCGCCGGGCGGGTCGATGTTCCGCAGATCTCCCCGCAGTACGGCACGCCGATCTGGGTCCGCGCCTGGCGGGAGCGGCGGCGGCGCCGCCGCCATGTTGGCCGCTCGCCGCCACATGGGCCAGGCGGTGCCGTTCGGGCACGCACGGGCCACTCTCGAGCTACAACCCGCCACCGCCGCTCTCCCGACGGCCACCCCGGCCGCACTCCCGGCCCCGGCTGTGCCCGCCGGGCTCCGCTCCGTACTCACGGTGCCCGACGCCTTCATGGCGCTCCACCACCGTCGCTGGCAGGAAAGGAAAGGGATGGGCAACGTGCGCTGCCGCCTGACGTCATCACCCCGCCCCGCCCCCGGAGGCCCGCGCGGCGATTGGTTGCGAGCAGAGCGCGATTGGAGCAGGCAGCTGTCAGTCTCCGCGCGCGGCCCTGGCTTCCGGGCTGGCGGCGCCGCGTGGCCCGGCCCGGCTCGCGCTCCCCCTATCGTTGGCTGCAGGCAGCGCGGCCCCGGCCCAAGCCCCTGCTCCCGGCACCGGGGCCGCGGGCCCGCATGGGCCTGATAGAAGGTAGACTTGGCTGTGCGTGACTCCCTCTCCAGCCCGCCCTGCTGGCGTTAGCGTGAAGGATGTTGCAAAGAGGCTCCAGGCGGAGACACCGAAATTCCCTCGGGGCGGTAGCCGGCAGCGTAGGGGGTATCGGGGGAACCTTTCTCACTCGTCGTCCTCCGGGATAGCGAGGTCACTGGCTGCCGTGAGGTTGCCCCCGAAGATCGCCCCCACGCACTCAGTTGCATGGGATGAGTCTTACGGCTGGTCCCGCCGGGCGCTCGTTTCCCCGTGCACTGGGAACGGGCAGTGGCTCTGCTGGCAGAACAAACAAGTTTCTCTCGATCTTTGAGCCCCTCATGCCTTTTGAGACCCGCGCTGCCGTGGCCACGGGACAGGCGTGGGTTTTGCCTCGGAAGATACTGTAACAGCCCCGGGGCTGGCTCGGGTTTGTAACGCAGTTGCTCGCGTTTGGGTCGGTTTTCAGTCCGGCCGAGCGGCCCCGCGGGCGTGTGGCGAGGCAAAACCCAGAACACGGCGCTGCCTGCAGAGCCCTGTGCGCAGGAGCCCAGTGCTACGTGTGCAGACACAGCTGTGTGAGAAACGACGCTCACTTTTAAAATTTCAAAGGTTTATTAAATCTTAACGGAATAAGGAAAAATTGCAGCGCCCAGAGTACGCCCCCAAACGGCCATGTGCTCGGCTACAAAATGGATACTCTGTTTTTTATATCCTCGGCCCCCTCCAGTCAGCTCCTTCTCTGCCGTCCATTGGTGGAGATCACCTTCTTACACCTCGATTGGAGGTCAAGGGTTGCTGCGCCTCCTACTAACAAGCCTGCCTTCCCTAAATGCCCTGACTAGTGATGACAGCAATACTGGGGGGAAAGGGATGAGGACTGTGGGGAGAGCATACCAAAATAACATAAATATACATCTATAAAACTTCTCTTAATGTACACATAATGCTCATCTCTTAATTCTGAAAGCCAACCATCGCATTAGCTACCTAGAGCAGCTGGATTCCTCCTTACGGACAAGAGCACGCCAGCCCGGGCCCTGCCCTGTGCGTGTCCCCAAGCCGGTCGCTCCGGCCGCTACTGCAGAACTCGCACCGGCGGCGGAGCCCCGCCCCACCGCCGCTGACACGGCACGATTTCCATACACTGCAGGCAGTTCGGGGGCATCCCGGGACAGCCCTAGTTTATTCCACCGCTGCGGTCGGTTTTACAGCAGGGCTGGCGGTACTGAAGCGGCGGGTGGGACTACGACTCCCAGGCTGCCTCGCGGCTGGGGCACATCCCGGCGTGCCTCGCGGCCGGCCGGCTTGGCGGAGAGGGGTGGTCCTGCTTAGTCTTCTCCTCCTCCTCCTCCTCCTCCTCCTCCTGCCGCCAGCCGAGGCGGCGCGGCCCGGCCCGGCCCGCTCCCTGTGCTCGTGGCGGCTGCGGAGCTGTGGGGGTGGGCGGGAGCCGGCGGCGATGGAGCACTGACCGGGAAGGTACCGGTGGGGGGACGCGGGCAGGACGCAACACGCGGAGGGGGTGACTCAGCCCGGGGGGGAAGGGGCAGTGTGAGCTGAGCTGGCGGCGCCTGCGGGCTCCCGCGAGTCCCCCGGCCGGTTTCCTCAGCCCGGGGCCGCCTCCCCACCAGCCGAGAGGCTCCGGGAAAGGGGGGGAGGCACCGCCGCGTCCTCCTGGCCCAGCTGCTGGGGAACAGCGGGGGCTGCAGCCGACCGGGCCCCGCCGGTCCCGCCCTGCGGGTGCCACGAAAAATATCTGTGTTTTTTTCCGCTAATACACGCTGTAGTCTGTGGTGCGGTTCTGTTCGCGGGAGCTGCCGCCTCGGTGGCTGTCCATCCGCTATGGTTCTGGTGGGGGAAGGAAGAAATCGTAGGACGGCAGCGTGAGCGGAGGGAGGGAGGGAGGGACCTCCCCACACTTCCATATTCCGCTGGTCGCGGCGTGGTCGGAGCGGCGGTTCCCCAGTGCGGGTGCTGGGCTGGATCACTGCCTGCGGCCCGGGACGGCGCCGGGCAGGTCTAAGGCCAGGCCGATGGCTGTGCCGCGGAGCTGAGCGCGGCGGGCGGTGAATGCCCGAGCGCCCGGGCCGGCTGCGCTGCCGAGCCCTGCTGGCTCTTCCCAGCCACGGGAGACCGGGCTCTGACCGCGTCTGGGGAGGGGGCAAGGAGGCCTTGCTCCTTACCGGAGTTCCTGCCGGTAAAACTGTGCCTGAAACTAAGACCTAATGTCACTTCCAGAAAGAAAAACTTTTCTAGTTGAAAAGTTGTCGAAGTAGCAGTAGTTACACAGTTGTTTGCTTTAACCGCCTGTTAGGTGAGTGTAAAGGGTCTAGAGCCCAAAGAAGCTGTAAGTATGCCCAAGGTTTGCAGCAAGCAAAACCGCAAAAAAGACTATAAAAGATGAATTTTAATGTCTTTGTTTTATTAGAGAGAAAACTTGAGGAAATTCAAATGAGGCACACCACTGGCTCCCCCTGTGTTACCGCATCTTGTAAATACTTAAAATACTGCTGAACATGAAGCTTTTTATAATTGCTGATTGTTCCCGTGATTAGCATCTGTAGTTAAAATGCTTTGAATGCTTTCATTATTGGGGTATATCTGGATTGAAGTTACACACTTTGGCCACGTCTATATTGTTCATTGGGTAGTCTTGCCCAATTAAAATGGGTTGAATTTTTTGGTTTTTCTGCCTCCTTTACACTATGAAAACAGTCTTTACTGTCAAATGTGCTTTTAAGTATTTAGTAGGGGAAAAGGAGTAAATTATTTTGATGTGTCATACCTGTATGACTTTGCTGGTAAGGAACTGCAGCCTTCTAATTACTGTAAGATAAGTTTGCCACCTGACATGGTGTACTGCTTAACAAAAAATAATGTCTAAGTAAGCAAGACAATACTTTCTGCACAGCTGCATATCAACTATTAACATTATCTATTGTTTTTTATTAAGTAAAACTTGCTTTAATGACATATTTGATGTTATAGCCAAGTGCATTTTGTGAATTCTTAGTACTGCTAAAATCACTGTTCAGTTTTGCTTTTGAAGTGTAACTGGCTGGTTAAGTAGATACGTGGCAGAAAAGCTACCTGCTTAAGTAAAACCATGAGACAAAAAAAGCTATTTTATTAGTTTTCTCAAGAGGCTCATTCGAATATTTTATCTCATTAATTGTCTTTTAGAGTTGGCTAGTCAAGATGAATGTGAGAAAAGGCTATATGATAGAAGTTGAAATTTTAAATACACTCATGAGGCATTTAGAAAATCAGTAGAACAGATTGGCATTGCTGTTAGCAGTAACGAGGGAAGGGAATACATGTTTGAGTCACGTTATTTTTATTAGTAAAATTTGTCACCCAGGTATAAATCATCTGCCCAAAAGATAAAAATGTACTGATACCAGCAGGTAAATGTGCAAAAAAAAGTCTCTGTAAATTAAATAGTTGTGTAACTCTGGACCAGACCCTAATCAAAGGATGCAATAAAAAAAAAAAAAAATCATTTTTCTCTACAGTATTTTACCTTTTTTTAGTCTGTCGTTTCTAGGTGTTGATTATAGGGAAAGCAGATTGGGGGCTGGGGATGCAGAGGGAGAAGACTCAGCACAGCAGTTTAATCCCTAAAGATACTGCCCCTGAGGGGAATCACAGTGACTAAGGCAGTCTGTGAGGCTTGGTTTGCCAGGAGTCATCATTTTGTTCCAGACTTTCTGGTTTCTGTACTGCCAAAACCTGCAAATTTTTTTGTACGAACTCAATTTTACTTATTAAATTGCTTTTCATTATGTGTAGTGTATTCTGTCTTGACTTTTCTATAAAAGTCTGTCACCACGTTAAATTTTGGGCTCTCCTTTTCAGTTCTGCTTGCTGTTGCTTGTCACTGTGCCACCTTTCTTCCCGTGGGGGAGGGTGAACAGTAGAGCGTGCACGAGACACAATACTAAGAAATTAGAAGTTCTACCTATGGGTATGTAGGCAGCTTGGAACCACAGCTCCTTTGTATTTCATCTCTTCCTCTTGTCTCTTCCTTTCCCCTGCCTCCTACATACTTACATAACAAGGCCTGATTTCAGGCCTAATTAACTATGTTACCATGGGCGGGGGAGGTGGGGCAGAGAACTGATGGATTTTTGTCCCCTTTTGTTATTTAACAGCATCCTGTTATTTGACAGAGAAGTTTTAATTTTTTAAAATTCTCTGTGTTTTACTAGAGCATTGCAGAACAGCCCATAGCAGCATGCCAACTTTAGAACATTTGTCTAGATCAATTGTTAATTTTACACTGAGTTTTCTAAATAAAAATCACTGCTAGTGAATAAGCACCCATTGGTAGGAACAGAAAACTTTTGTTAACAACTTAGTGTGGTGTATTTTGTGCTTAATTTCTAAGACACTTGCATGTGCTTGCTTTAGAAGAAAGACCTCCTAATGACTTTGCCCCCACCACTGGAAATACTTCATAAGTGGGTGTATGAAGCATCTTATCTATATTGGAGATGAGTAGAGATTCTTTTTTGGGGTTTTTTTGTAGTTAGGTTTGTGGTGGGGAACAAAAACAGTGGCCTTTCATTTAAGGAGTAGATTATGTTGTATCTTGCTGAAACTTCTGCATGCTTGAAATTTGTACTTAAGCCTTTCAGCTGAATACTATACATAATGCCATCTTCCTGTTGACCAGGTTCTCTTTTCAAGAGCACTGAAATATATGGAGACTTTAAAGTTCCCTTATTCAGTACTAAATACAGTACTATGAAAAGTTGATTAAAGGACTTAGAATTACAGTATTTGTACTGTAGCATTCATGTTTAGTTGGAGTACATTTTTTGAGGTTTGTGGGCCACCTTGTGTGATTGTTGCTGTCCTAGTTTTAATTTTACTTGTTCTGCTGAGCAAATAAAATTTCTCTTTCTGTATTTGCAGATGATCGTATTTTGCCCTCTAGAAGCAGTGGGCAAAGCAGTTAGGAACAGGAAACAACGAATATAGCAATAGACATGGATGAACAAGCCCTTTTAGGGCTCAACCCAAATGCTGATGCAGACTTCAGACAACGAGTATGTAATTAATTTCCTCTTCTCTCTAATAACTGGAGATGGTATTGCAGTGCAAAAAATCGAATGTTTTCATGGGCTGGGTGGGGGTTTGTTGAGTTTGTTCTCTGAGCCAAATGCGTAGGATTTGTGGTGGCAAGTACAAAGCCAAGTCATGGTGCAAACATGTAAGCTGAGGGATATGTATTATCAATTCTGTTACATTTCAGTTTGATTTCATTTAACATGCATAGAATTTAATTTTCTGGACTCTGACTGTTTAAGTTTTTTCAGTTCTTTATACTTGTTGCTCAACTCCTTACATAGATTCTCATAGAATGAAAATCAGCTACAAAAACAATTTGCTTGAAATTAGCCTGTTGATTCTTAGATGTTTTTAACTATCATCTTAATAGGTTTAGTGTCTTTTTAATGAAATATGTGCGTTTAATTGTAGTGAAGCTTGTGTAATTGTAAAGTAGGTTAAGAAAGTAATCATGACATGTGGGTAACATTTTCTGCATGAGATGATCCTATGAAAAGACATTATTATTTATATAGCTATTTATTGAGTAATTATCTCTGCTAACTGATTACCATGTTGATTTAACTGTCTACAAGATAACTTCTAGGAAAATCTTCCAGGAATGAGGATGTTAATACCGTAGTTTTGTGTTCATAAAACAGATCCTGGAATGTTTAGAACAGTTACAGATTTGGTTTGATTTGCTAAGTAGCCTGTTAAATATGTTGGTTCTGGGTATTTGTCCTTTTTAAAAGGATGGATATAGCTAATCTTTAGTGATCTGTCAATAAAATATCACTAAACTTGGAAGCTTTTAGATTTGACCTTTTGACTATGCAGTCTGCTGAGTTTTGAAATATTTCATAGCAGAAGGGGACCTACCTTTTCCAGAGTCACGTAAGATGTAACATAAGGGAAGTGTCAAACCATTTGTAGTAAAATAATGCATTAAGAATAAGAAAACCACTAGTACTAACTACAGGAAGCGAATTCTTATTTTAGGACTTAGTTCTGTATAAATACTTTGGGACATGACTATGTCATGGTTAATGGAAATCTTTATGAACTAATGCAAAAAGCAGCCCCTAAAAATATCCAGCAGCCAAACCCCCTTTGAAATACACGCATTCATTGAATTGAAATAATGTTGTTAATCTAATTTCTGCTTCAAAACTTGCTTTACTGTTCTGTATTACAGGCCACACTGAGCCTTAAAGCAAGTAAGTGAAATTAACTGTTGTCAAAAGCTGTTTAGGAGTCCTAATAAGTAACATGATTATTTAAAATTTGGTAGAGGTTTTCTCAATTTCTGTAGAAGATTCATATCCTGACAGTTGTCCAGGTGGTTAGTGTTTGAATGTTTTTTGAGCTTGGGGTGTTGAATACAAGCAAAGTGGTGCAACAAAACAGGGAAATGTTTTCAGTGAAAAATCTAAATTACCACTTCTTTAGAATGTGTGGAAGGAATTGTAACTTGGATGTGAACTTCCTCCTAAGTGGAAAGGCCCTGAGCAAGCTGCTCTGGTCTAAATGTGTCTCTGGAGTTCCATCTAACCTCAACACTTCTGATTCTATGACTTCCACATTCAAGTTTGTGTTAAATGTGAAGTGGAAATGGGTACCTATGATATTAGCATTTGGAAAACAGCCTGCTCAGTGTTAAGGTGATTAGGGAGCCACTGGAGTGTATCCAAATAGTGTTGGTGTTTTGAAGAAAACAATTGTTTAAATACAAGGGAAAGTGTGAATGAGATGTATTGCTATGTGCTTTGTTCATTTTAAAGTGAAACTTACTTTGATTTTTGCAGGCACTAGCCTACTTTGAGCAGCTCAAGATATCTCAGGATGCTTGGCAAGTCTGTGCAGAAGCATTAGCTCAGAGTATATACAGGTAATGCAACTAATAATTTCTTATTGTCATTAGTAATATGTGTGGGTCTGATTTAGCTGAGCAGCATAATAGGCAAACTAAATTGTTGAATATTAATATGTCTTTGTACTAATTTTAGTATCGTAGTGATCTGTGGCCTCTGTATAATGCCTTTCACCGAGGAGCAATGTATAAATTAAACTCCATAGTAATTTAGGAGCCTAAAGACTGCTAGGTTTTGAAATTCTGAGGAAAGGTGCTGAGAATTGCCCCCTGTGAGACTATAGACTTTATATGCAGTAATATCATAAGTAGTTCCTTGCCCCAGTTCTATGGAGTAGGCCATCCCATTTTTCAAGATGCATAGAGTGTCTAATCACCACTATTTTTGCACATAGTTGTGTATTTACATCAAAAATACTAGGTTGTCACTGTTTTATGGAATAATTCAATTTGGAAAGAAATTGAGGGGTGCAGATCTCCTGAATAATAGCAGTAGTTTATAGGAATGCTTTTTTGTAAATGATTTATCAAAACTATTGACTCCATCAGAATGTGCAGTAATTAAAACCACATAAGATTAGAAATTATAATCTTTAAAATATACATTATGGTTGTTGCAAGTTTTAGATAATAAGATGAAAAAGCAGTGTGGATAACAGAGCATGTGGAATGTCCATGCTTAATCTACACCCCAGTTTCTCTTTACCTTTGATTTT